ATATATATATATATATATATATATATATATATATATATATATATATACATTGATTGCACAACTCGGAATTTCATGCTGTTTGCAATCCTCAAGTGCCAATTTTGGGTTTAAACCGCTTGTTCAATATTTCTGGTTATCGCGAGATATTTTCGTGTTAGGTTAGATTGATATCGTTGTTAAGTTTTTAAATGAATTGTAGATTAATTTTGGTTTGAATTAAGGCCCACATTAAACATAAAAAAATGATTGAAATTAAGAATTATAAATTCATAAAAACAAACGTTTGCGATAAAAATATGAAAATTAAATTTTTAATAATAATAATAATAAAGACCATATTAACCTGGGTGAACATGCTTGGGTAGAAATTTAGTTTTAGGTAAGCAGGTGCTTATTAACTCACTTCTTTCATTAAGATATTTGAATTGTTCGTATTTGTTGGGATCATTAATTTTTCAGAATGACATAAGTTACATCTGTCACTTTCCCGTTGAAGGATTTAGCTATCGTTACTCATTCCCAGGTGATAGTTTCTATTCTCGCTTTTCAGTTTCCAGAAAAATTAATGACGGCAGTGCTGCTACTATATTTGGTTGTGGCAGAAGTGCGATTACTAATTGTTTTCCGTAGAGCCCAAATAAAACTTGACCTAGTAATCATATTTTATTTCAGCTTTATAGACTAACGAAATAGAAATTAACAACACCGTCATCTATATGGATCACGGGATTATACTGCTACGCAAATCAAGAGCACAATAATCTGACTATTATTGATATTATTAATTATTTATTTTTATTGATAGTTTTACTCTATTATTTCTACTATCTTTACTATATAATTATTGTTGCAGTGATTATTAGACTGTAATGAATTTAACATTTATGCTTATTTATTATTTTCACTATCATATTATTATTTTTGTTACTATATAACCGTTGTAATTGTTTTTATCTTAGATTTACTTTCGGTCTTACTACAAGTAACGATTTCATTATCATCATTATTACGTTTGTTTATTTATTATTTATATATTCTTATTTATATGTTTTTATTTTATTTTATCCTATTTTATTTTTATTGTTATGTATTGTTTTTATTAGTATCTTAAATCTATTTTATCACTGCATATCATATTAATTTTAACTATGTCCTTGATTAAGTAAATTCATAAATAATTACATAGGTCACGCTGCTACATGCCTATCCTAAAGACTTACATTACACTTATCCATCAGCAGCTCCATTAGATCACACACAAAAACGAACAAGATTCCACCCAAAACATACTAGTAGAAAATACTAGCGTAATGACCTCATCCACATGTAAAAAGTTAAGGAAAAACAAAAAACATAACTCAGTAAACATTAGCTATTAATACGGCCACAATCTCCTGACCGTGTTTGTAAAATAAAACATCCCTATGACTTTAGATACATACATTCAGTTAAAAGTAAAAGGAATCATCCTTGATAATGGGTAAAAAGATTAGAGGAATACAATCGGAAATTTAGTTTTAAACAGTTTTTACACAATTTGTGTCCAGAAAAGAAAACACTTGTACGAACACAAGAACAATTACATAAGTAACTTAAACGCAGTACCTTGACAGTCGTCTTTAATAAAACACGTGTAAATGAGGGATGATGCGGAAATGCATCATATATATATATATATATATATATATATATATATATATATATATATATATATATAATATAACTGAGTTTGTAAAATAGTGTATAACATTGCTTACAAAAACCCTCTTTATATTACAATATGTATTTAAATATTATGTATACACAGAATATATTTCTACACGTATGTGTGTACGCATTTATTTCAATATATATATATGTCAATACATAGAGAAAAACATACTCACACATCCAAGGGTATATATGTTTATCGTATATAAGTTTTGTTTTTCTTGATATATATATATATATATATATATATATATATATATATATATATATATATATATGTTAATAAAAAAGCATATAGTATTGGTGCATTATGGATAAATCAGTGCAGTATACATTCTGCTTAGTGCAGAAAACATCCCAGTAGACGAGAAACCATGAGATGCATGACAAATGATCCGAGTTACGAACGTCTGTGTGGAATTATTAATTTTCAACGCACTCACAGACATTTGGCGGCAAGCAGTCGCTCTGAAAGATGAGGGTCAACTAGCAAAGCAAAACCTGAATCTGATATAAGATTTTGAGAGGGGGATCTTGTTGCCCTTTTATTGGGCTGATGAATGAAGTGAATATCAATGTCCATCGTGTCAAGAATATAAAATTATATTTATCTATCTATTAATCGTGATTATATGCCAGAGTTAAAACGACACCTGATATATATATATATATATATATATATATATATATATATATATATATATATATATATATATATATTAAGTTGATATTTTTATTGCAGTTTAATTGAGAAAATGCAGTGTTCCCTAAATTCATGACACCATTCGTCAGTTGAAAACATATTTTCCAAATTTTTTCAGACTTATGTATTTTATGCCATGTTCTTCAGTTCATAGGCGACCAATATTCTCTCTCTTTCTCCTAGTGTTTACTTTACTTTATTATTTGTGAACTACCATTTTATCTTGGAAATGCTAGTGGAGTAATAGTCACGCAATACAAGAGAAAATAGCAACACAATCTCAAGTCATTGTGCATTAAATTATTTTGACGTATTTTGTTTTACGACATATCAAAAGCAACTGGTTACATAATGCTGATAAGTTTTTTAGGATCGGTTTTTATAATTATTTTTTGTAAGAAATCAGTTTGTAAATCAGGTTTCATTTACGTATTTTTGTAAAGAGGATTTTTGTCGCTACTTTAATTTATTCCTAGTAATATATCTTTGTCCAAAGTATATCACTGTTATTTTTATTATAAAAAAAAATGTTTTTTACTTTCATAGTTTTTTTTTTCTTTTTACCCCAAGTTGGGGGTAATCTAATTAGCTGGGACCCTAATAGGTACTACCACCCCAGGTCACGGAGGACCTGAGAGCAATAGCACTTAAAATGTGGTCCTACGCTCCTCTAAGATCAGATCAGAAGCTTTGCTACCGAATGTATTTTATCGTCATACCAAGGACGAAGTATACTGAATTAAATTTTTGTGATTACGTAAAAGGTAGATGTAAATATTGCATATTATAAGGATATACAGCAGAGTTAACGTTTCACCCTAAATGTGAAGTGATTAAGATTGTAGTGAAAGGAAAAGCATCCTCTTGGGAGTCTCCTCCACAAAGTGGTTTTTGGGAAGAACGTGTCCGAATGTAAATTGCTTCTTAATGGGAATAGCGGAAAATCCGTACAAGTGTACGTGGCATTGCTGATCGTCACATTTGTCATGGAAATAGAAATATAGTAGTCAGAGGCCTGCGATGTTTCGTCTCTGGGGAAAGAGGTTGTAGAGGGGAAAATTATTCGAGCTTGTGAGTGATGAATAATTTGTAATTTTGATGAATGATTTGATGAATGAATTGTAAATCTATCGTTACTGGACAATAAGAACTTGGCAGTTCTAGTTCATATTTATCTGGTTTAGTCCACTAATCACATTCCATTCACTTGCCTTATCTAAAATTTTGAATTCAAAGTGGTCTTTTCCATAAACCAATTTTTACCCAAATCTAGAGAATCCAGTGTGTCACACTATTTGATTCATGCCAGGAAACGGGTGTGAAATTCATTTTCCAAGAAGTGAGAGTAACAGACTAGCCCGGAATTCAAACTTGGTTCAACGATTCCACTTAGCACCACGATATTCCTTACACTAACCGAACATCCATTTATAGGACGCTACACAATATTTTACACAAACAGTGTATCTAGTTATAAAAATGACAATGTATGTAGTATATAATTGTGCAATAGAGCTTTAGCTTTGTTTAAGCGGCATAATAATGAATAAGCCTGTTCCGGTTGGACTAAATATGGAGCTAAGATTACGGATTACGGGAAAGCCTAATTTTTATTTTCTTCATTTATATATCTCATGATGTATCATGATATATATATGATTTTTTTTTATTTACTTAGTGTATTTTCCCTCGCCAAAAATGCAAATTCGCCTAACACCCACTGTTAATTTATCCAACGCATTTTGGTAGGGTTTGATTTTTTTCTTTTGTTTTGTACCGCAGCTGAAAACAAAAACTTTCCTTTTCTTTATTATCTGTGAATTGTCATGCATTTTTTGAGTAAAATAGCGAATTCATTTACCGTTGACCTTACCACATTATTAAATTTAGACTTTTTACTTCTTTTAGACTGGTCGCTACTAAAGAGCATTACAATTTCAAACTAGGAGACGCATTACAATCTTAAAGTCTAAAGGTAACCATTTTCATTTTCTTGAAGAGGTAGGTTCGCCTATTGTCCGATTCGCATTCCTTACCAGTCTTTACAGAAGTAGAGGTTTTCGGATTAAGTCTTTTTCATTATCTTTCATTACCATTAGCCCCCATTGAGCCTTAGTGAGATTATCGCCTTTCTTTGGGTAAATTGATTAAAAACAGTAACCCTGTGAACTTCCAGCATCACACGGCCACTTCGACGTGGTATAAGGCCAAGCAAGCTTGTCCCCCAAGATCAATTACGACTGAGTTCTTAGTTTGAAATTCATTGGTACCGTGTATATTCGGCCATGTTCTATATTGAAGGTACGCTTAAAAATCGCATTTATCTTGTTACTTTTTGTAATAGTTACCAAGCTTATCTTGCGAGATTAATTATGATGAGTAATTAGTTCAATCCTCACTACCATACTTTTGGCTTTGTATCACATATAAGCTACAATAGAAAAACTCCATACAGCATAATAAACCTGCCTTTAGTGGTTCTTATGCGTGTGAACATTATTATAAAAAATTATATAGCCTAGTCTATTTAACTATGTTTTTAAGGCATAACACGAAACAGAAAAACTACATGGAAGGTACTTTTTTCCAAAAGTATTGGCGCGAAAGGTTATGTAGTAGACTTATCCGAAATTTAAACATCTCTCTCTCTCTCTCTCTCTCATCGCCTTTCCTATCCGATATCCGTTACGCAAACGGCACATCTCTCATTAAAATTGACTAAAACAACATAATGTGTAGCAAACAATATTCGACCTCAGAAAGAAAAACATCTGAAAATTTTCCTCCACTTCAAATTTCCGAAGACATTAAAATGTACAATTGAAGTGAGTCTACGCTTTGAAGTATCAATATAAAGTAAAGTTTTATTGATTCCAGCCAATCATTCAACGAATAAACGAATTGCCAGAAACCAACATGGCATACATTTGTTTATAGTCGTATTAAACGCTCATGATATATTTATGATAATTAAGACAGTATTCTTTCGTTTTATGCTCGATATATTTTAAATTGATTCAGTCTTATAATCACGAACAATCCTTTAAATACCAACTTTGAAATGTGACATTGTTTTATGCGCCTGAACCTCAATAAATGAAAAACGACACTCGAAGTTAAATTATTGTTCTACCGGATATTTGAAGTAATACTGAAGTACTGGTAAAATTGTATTTTCTTTATTAATATATTTTTTTATAATTACTGTTGTTCGTTTTTTTCAATCTAGGAGTTATGTATATAAAGAATTAGAATGACATATTTCCTGATTTTTTTATCAGATTTATTCTCAAATAAAGTTTTATTTTTTCTTTTAAGAATAAATCTGATAAAAAACGGGAAATATGCCATTCTAACAAAGTAAAATTCCATTTCATTCAATTAAAAATGTGGTCCGGAAGTCTCGTCACCCTCTACAAAAATGCAATGACAATAATGGAACAAGTAATGCAATAGTAATACAAAGCACATGTACTGGATTCAGTTTAAACACTTTCATTGACACTGACACTCATCGGGAAGGGCTGTATGAACGCCATCAATTTCGTAGCACAAAGAGACATGTCCTGTGTGATATTTTACGAAGCTGTGCTTTGTTGATTGCTTTAAAAGCTGTCCTTCAACTGATGAGTATTCTGGCATCGTTCATACCCACTGGATTTTAACCTGAGGACACCATCACACACACAACATTAGATCTCTTTAAGGTATCTCGTTTTTTGGGGGTTCATTTTGTAGATTTATCTTTTTCACTGCAGGCTATCCTGAAAACTTTCGTATGTAAAACATTTTTGATTACATCTTATGATATATTAAAGCAACGGTATCTTAGTCTAATAGATTCGTTAATGTGGAAGCAAAAACAGAATGCACTTCTAACTTAATACCTGTAGGAGATGTAGTTACTTTCTCGCATTGGATTAATGCAAAGAGCCAGGTTCTAAATATATTCAACTTCTAAAATGCAGCTTCATTTGACGAAAAAATGTTTGTTTCGTAGCAAAAAGATTATTGCCTTTGGTTCAGGCAAATCGAGGTACTCATTTAACAAATATATATATATATATATGAAGAAATATATTCTTAAGGTGTGTTATATTTATGGGATAAAGTGTTCAATATCAGGGATAGAGCGTGTGTAAATATAAAAGTGATCATTGAAGTCAACACTTAGAGGCGACAATCTGTTTCGTGCTAGACGCAATCGTACCTGCTCAAGGCATGATATATGTTTCCGTGTTGAGGCTGAGGCCCAGTGTGATGAAAACATACATAACATCGGCATCGATAGTGATCACCCCAAACACCACTATTATGCTCATCCAACTGCACTTTCCTCAAATTGACACCCATACAGCCTGAAATGTTCGTATAGAGCTTTTGGCTCGAATGCCAAGCAGTACAGCATAGTGTTTCCAAATTTCTGGCGGAGAGAACTACGGCATGGTGCTCTTTTTTCTCACAGAGGCTGTTTAACTAAAAAACTAATATATGTATATATATATATATATATATATATATATATATATATATATATATATATATGTGTGTGTGTGTGTGTGTGTGTGTGTGTGTGTCTGTGTGTGTATGTGTGTGTCATTTCACTCCAAGCAAGGCAGGAAATACGAAAGTGGATACTGGCATTTATAGCATATGAGAAAAAACACTATTAAGCTATTTAGAAGTGATACCATAAAAGAACAGGAATTAAGAGAACGATTGATATTGCATTTAATTTTAAAATTTTTGAAAATATTTAAATTTTTGAAGGTCAACTTTCAATGGTAAATCTGAATATATATATATATATATATATATATATATATATATATATATATATATATATGTGTGTGTGTGTGTGTGTGTGTGTGTGTGTGTGT